TAAGTTGTGAAATGGGACAAGAAGTTCCATAATTGTCACAAATAGGATTAAAAGTTCTCTATCATAATGTTTTATAGAATATATTATCCTACAGGAGAATGGAAATTGTTTTTATCTCTTTAATTCTTTCCCTTTGAAAATTTCAGTCCTAACTCTTTCCATTTATCATTTTACATTTAGAATGTACATGCTATTGCAAGCAAAATAATATCAAATTGGCAAAATTTCATTGAAAAATAAAAAAGTTATGCTCATTCAAGAGAACACACCATTCCGATTGACAGAGTATAACATGATGATGAATTCTCCCTATGAAAATTTCAGTCCTCTTACAATTCATCATTTTACATTTAGAAAGTACATGCTATTGCAAGCAAAATAATACCAAACTGGCAAAATTTCATTGAGAAATAAAAAAGTTATGCTCATTCAAGAGAACACACCAGTCCGATTGACAGAGTATAACATGATGATGAATTCTCCCTATGAAAATTTCAGTCCTCTTACAATTCATCATTTTACATTAAGAAAGTACATGCTATTGCAAGCAAAATAATACCACACTGCCAAAATTTCATTGAGAAATAAAAAAGTTATGCTCATTCAAGAGAACACACCACTCCCATTGACAGAGTATCATATGATGATTGATTCTCCATATGAAAATTTCAGTACTCTTTCAATTTATCATTTTATATTTAGAAAATACATGCTATTGCAAGCAAAATAATATCAAATTGGCAAAATTTCATTGAGAAATAAAAAAGTTATGCTCATTCAAGAGAACACACCAGATTTAAGTACAATTATCAGAGTAATATGACATGATGATGGACTCTCCCTATGAAAATTTCAGTCCTTTTACAATTTAACATTTTACATTTAAAAAGTACATGCTATTGCGAGCAAAATGATATCAAACTGGCAAAATTTCATTGAGGAATAAAAAAGTTATGCTCATTCAAGAGAACATACCATTCCGATTGACAGAGTATAACATGATGATGAATTCTCCCTATGAAAATTTCAGTCCTTTTACAATTCATCATTTTTCATTTAGAAAGTACATGCTATTGCAAGCAAAATAATACCACACTGCCAAAATTTCATTGAGAAATAAAAAAGTTATGCTCATTCAAGAGAACACACCAGTCCGATTGACAGAGTATCACATGATGATGGATTCTCCCTATGAAAATTTCAGTACTCTTTCAATTTATCATTTTATATTTAGAAAATACATGCTATTGCAAGCAAAATAATACCAAATTGGCAAAATTTCATTGAGAAATAAAAAAGTTATGCTCATTCAAGAGAACACACCAGATTTAAGTACAATTATCAGAGTAATATGACATGATGATGGATTCTCCCTATGAAAATTTCAGTCCTTTTACAATTTAACATTTTACATTTAAAAAGTACATGCTATTGCGAGCAAAATGATACCAAACTGGCAAAATTTCATTGAGGAATAAAAAAGTTATGCTCATTTAAGAGAACACATCAGTCCGATTGACAGAGTGTAACACGATGATGGATTCTCCCTATGAAAATTTCAGTACTCTTTCAATTTATCAATTTACATTTAAAAAGTACATGCCATTGATGATTGCGAGCAAAATAATACCAAACTGGCAAAATTTCATTGAGAAATAAAAAAGTTATGCTCATTCAAGAGAACACACCAGTCCGATTGACAGAGTATTACATGATGATGGATTCTCCCTATGAAAATTTTAGTCCTCTTACAATTTATCATTTTACATTTAGAAAGTACATGCTATTACAAGCAAAATAATACCAAACTGGCAAAATTTCATTGAGGAATAAAAAAGTCATGCTCATTCAAGAGAACACACCACTCCGACTGACAGGGTATTACATGATGATGGATTCTACCTATGAAAATTTCAATCCTCTTACAATATATCAATTTACATTTAAAAAGTACATGCCATTGCGAGCAAAATAATACCAAACTAGCAAAATTTCATAGAGAAATAAAAAAGTTATGCTCATTCAAGAGAACACATCAGTCCGATTGACAGAGTATAACATTATGATGGATTCTCCCTATGAAAATTTCAGTACTCTTTCAATTTATCATTTTACATTTAGAAAAAACATGCTATTGCAAGCAAAATTGCAAGCAAAATGTACCAAATTGGAAAAATTTCATTGAGGAATAAAAAAGTTATGCTCATTCAAGAGAACACACCAGACTTAAGTACAATTATCGGAGTAATATGACATGATGATGGATTCTCCCTATGAAAATTTCAGTCCTCTTACAATTTATCATTTTACATTTAGAAAATACATGCTATTGCAAGCAAATTAATACCAAATTGGCAAAATTTCATTGAGAAATAAAAAAAAAAGTTATGCTCATTCAAGAGAACACACCAGTCCAATTGACAGAGTATCACATGATGATGGATTCTCCCTATGAAAATTTTAGTCCTCTTACAATTTATCATTTTACATTTAGAAAGTACATGCTATTGCAAGCAAAATAATACCAAATTGGCAAAATTTCATTGAGAAATAAAAAAGCTATGCTCATTCAAGAGAACACACCAGTCCGATTGACAGAGTTTAACATGATGATGGATTCTCCCTATGAAAATTTCATTCCTCTTACAATTAATCATTTTACATTTAGAAAATACATGCTATTGCAAGCAAAATAATACCAAATTGGCAAAATTTCATTGAGAAATAAAAAAAAGTTATGCTCATTCAAGAGAATACACCAGTCCGATTGACAGAGTAATTAACATGATGATGAATTCTCCCTATGAAAATTTCAGTCCTCTTACAATTTATCATTTTACATTTAGAAAGTACATGCTATTGCTCTTATTCTGTATTTTTTTGTTGATGTGCAGTGCTAAGTTTGAACTATCTCGTATGATTTCAATACATATTTATAAAATCAAAAACAAAAAAACCTGAGATGCTTGATATTAAACAATAGTGCTAGTATCCCTATTTAGTTTATTTCACAAGTTCTGTAGCTATCTGAAATGTACTGTTTGTACAGTGCTAGTATCCCTATTTAGTTTATTTCACAAGTTCTGTATCTATCTGAAATGTACTGTTTGTAGACTTTGAATACAAGATTATTGGTAGGAAAGTGAAGTTCATGTGTATACTTTACACACAGAATTTACATTTGATATATTTTTTACGTTCAGTTTCCTTATTTTTTTTTATTCCAGTTATTTCTTCAATTTGAACGATTTAAGTGTGAAATTGTGATTTCTAGGATAACATTAAAACGCGTTCACTGATGATATGCTATATAAAGTACACATTATTTTCTTTATATACCAACAGTTCTAAGGAGACCTCTTTGAGTATTTACTATAATTTAAATCAATGATCTATAAATTGTCATTTTTCTCTATAAAACTTTCAAAAAAATTCTTTTTCGTCCAAAGTTTCTTAAATTAAAAGTTACATTGGCTATTATTGTTTAGATGAAAAAATAAATCAGGTAAACATAAAGACCATAAGTATTTTAAATCTATAACTTACGTACTAGAAAGGGACATAACTCTGTAGAGAGTGTCGTATTATGATTAGTGTCCCAGATCGGACATATATATTCTTTTAACTAAAGTTCAAGCTATAAAATTTTATAAATGATACATTTTTATATTATCGATAAAAACAAAAATATGACATATTCATAAACGCGTCACAAGACCCCACTTCGAGATATTGACTCTGTTGACTTCTAAACGCTTTAGCTTTGGACGGGTCTATATTTTTGGACGGGGGTGTCGATCCTAAGTTAAGCTCAATGCGTTTCTTTTTTTTATATTTGTTATCTGAGTTTTATTTCAAAGAAAAAATTATCAACTTCTGTAGTATAACCTGTTTTTCTTAATTTTGCAGTAAACATGGTAAATGTTTGAATACTAATAAAGCAACTTCAGTCTGCTGTTAAACCTACCCCCCCCCCCCTCCCCTTGCTAACTTCCAAGAATCCAATATCTCCAGATCTCGATAGGGTATGATACGTGTATGTATATACCTAGAGGCAATTAAGAGTCTTTTGTTTTCCCCAGGTAGCAAAACTGTCACAATTTGCTTGGAACTAACAAAACATACACAGGGGATATTAACACTTGGAGAGTCGAATTAACAACTGAACCTCATGAAAAACAAACTCCATGCTTTACTAAACCTCCGGATTGATTAAGTCATAACTTTTTTTTTCATTTTCAATTTAAAAATTAAATCCAACATTTTTACACCATTCATAATTGATAGCAAACAGTAAATATAAAATTGTATATATTTTCCCCCTTAAAAATATAAACTTTAATCATGTTTATGAAAGTAAAATGAATACTCGTATAATAGACTATAATTTTTCATTCTACGTTTCACAAAAATGGGATTTGAAGAGACAAAATTTTATAGGTTACTAGCTATTGATTATCACATGAAGGATATTTGGTGAATGATACAATTTTGAACATCATACATGTAGAAGGTTAACAATATATCAAAATGCCGTGAAGAAAAAGAAGACGGGGCTTTATTGAGGCTATGTACTGCTGACTGGACTTTCAAACGCTAACCATGCAAATAAAGTTTTCTTGACGTTTCAAGGGAAACATTTTAGAAATATACAGAGACTAACCCCCCCCCCCCTCCACTACCCTCCTCCTTCTTATCATGTTCTCAATGATCATGATCGATGTCCCATTTATAGTAAAATGTTAATATTTTTGGTATTGGACATTTTAATTACCATTATTTAAATTTTTGTTGTTGTAAATACTACCATGGGTATTACCCATGGTAGTATTTACAACAACAAAAATCTGGAAAAAAAATAGGCCTGATAATTTATTTCATTTCTTTTTTTTTTTTTTTGCTCGTGAACTGTGCATTGTTTAAATTAAAAAAAGATAAACCAATAAATAAAAAGAAGCAGCAATATTCTATCTATGGATTCACTTCTTAAAAATTCTGTGCAGAAGGATGCATTTTTAATTAAATCCCTAGAATTACCCAATGCCAACCAAGGAAAATAAAAAACGGCGACAAGACATTATGAGGAAATTTCCACATGTAGATGTTGACAAAGACCTGCTCTATTTTTGTAAGTAGATTTAGAATTAATGAATTTGTTATTTATTTCACATGTTACTGCATGGATCATAGATTTTTTTTAGTCTAAAGATCTAGTATAAGATCATCCCGTTTCCTCTGATTTTATAAACAGACTTACATTGTCTTCAGATGTTATGAATTTCTGTCACTGTAAAGTGTTTGCAGTCTAGTCGATGGGGATATTCAGTAGTACATTATACAAGTTAACAAAGTAAATAATCGTCAGAAAATTATACACATCCGAATATTATTCTTTCGTTCGAATTTCCTCAATGACAATTAACGTTGTAGTACTCGTTCGTTCGAATATTCTCAATGACTTGAATGTGTACACAAGCTGATGATTGTACTTAGAAATATATTGTCATGTCTAACTTTGTCTGTAATTTGCAAGTTACATTTTCTAAGTATCTTGATCATTGTTGATTACAGTCATCAGCATTACTGATTAGAAAATTAATTCTTATCTTCTCTCAGACATGGTTTAAAGTATCCAACTACTGTAGTGTACTATAGGGATTAACAAACATTGTGTGTGTTGCAAGTTTTATTTCTTTTTCTTTCTTCTTCTTCTTCTTTTTTTGCTGTCAAGATAATTTTTGAGATATAATATGGGGATCAGTGTATAATGATTATTACAAGTCATGATGGACATAACTAATCACCCCAAAAACTCCTACTTACATTGTTTGGAAGTATCCAAATATCATATTACTTAATCTCTGTTAGAAAATTTGTTGATCCTCTAAAGTTTACCTAAGACATGTACCCACATGATTATTGATATAATCAATTCTTAAAATGTTTTTTTTTTAATCTCTGAAAAACAGTCTTAAAACTTTGAGTGAAAATCAATCTTTAAACTGTTAAACTCATTTTTATACATGTACTATGAATACATGCTTAGGAATATCATTATTAAGTTATCTTCATGTACTTTTGAGGGGAAAATTATACATCTGTGTGCATATTGATCCTTATGTGTAAGTAAATAATAAAAGACACAAATGCTACGACTTTTTTATTTTACATATTTATTTGTAAAAATATTTTTTATTACTTTGAAATGAAATAAAAAACATTCTAGCTTTATTACTAATAATATGATTTTTTATTAGAATTGATAGGGAATTGGATATTTAAGAAATAAAGTTCACTTTTTCATGAATGTTGCAGTATAACCTGCATTGTTAATGTAGCATAGATTTAAATTACACAAGGACTCCCATGCCAATTTCAATAGTCATCGCCCACTGACTTCAAACACAAAGGTAGCCGCACAAGAATTACATGCATATTTGGCCTCCTAAGTGTCAGACACAGAGATGGGTGCACATGAGATTTTCATGAATATTAGGCCTTCTTAGCTCCTGACCTATCGACCTGCCTAATTTACATTCCCGTAGAATTATTAAGAAATCAACTCTCCTAACTTTCAAAGAGTTACAACAGAGAAAAATAAAGTGCCCCGCCACAGCATGATATGTCCGTCAAATATTGTTCAATAATCATAAATTGGTTTAGAGTGAAAGAAAATCAGGTAACCTTGATTAACAGAATGACACTGATTTCAATGATCTAATTTCCATTTCTTATCATGTTGAAAATATTGTACATGTATACATCTCTAAGAAACTTACAGTGTAGGGATTAATTATAACTAATAATACATCATATAATTCTAAACTAGCTGTGTTAGAGCTTAACAAATATCTATCTGCAGCTTTAAATTGTTTATTGAATATTTTGTGAAATAATGGAAATGCTACAGTCTAATAAAAAAATAAAAAATAAATCATTCTTTAGACTATAAAATTCTAAGTGAGACATGACTGCAATTTGTTGCAAATATATAAAAATTGAAATGTAAATTTTTTTTTCAATGAACACATGTATAATTAGCTTTAATTATATTATACAATACTAATTTAGTTTTAATCATGTACACTAAAACATTAATTTCTTTTAATTACATTAAATCAATTGAAAGATCTTTATCTGGAATATAGCCATCAAGAACTCTTAATTAACACAAGCAGCTATGAGGTCACAGTGACCTTGAAATAGATTGGACAGGATTTTTCATATTTGGCCATAGCATTTTTATTAAAGATCAGAGCAACCTACTTTTTGTGTGTGTCACACCGTCTACCCAAGAAGTATTAGCTGACAATCCTAGGCCTAATAGTATTAAATTTATGAGCCAGACACGAATGGACAGATGGACGGACGAACATGAAGCCTATATACATGCATAACATAATACGTCTCGTCTTAAGACAGACGTATAAAAACAGACATGGAAATATGGCATCATCTGACATCATGAAAAATTCTCAAGGGCATAAAACTACTGTAGTACAGATACTGGTAACTGTATGCAGAACATGCACAAAGTTTCATTTATGGTATATTTAGAGATGAAAATAATTAATATTTTGTACTTCGTCCTCTTAGGGTGAATTTTAGTGTCAGTCATTTTGGCTGGATTGAGAAATTTGAGTGATTGATTGTTTGATACTCAACATGTTCAATTCATTTTCTAAATTTGGTGAAAATTTAATCCATGCTTTGTTATATACATGTAATTGATTTTGTATGATTTATTCTATTTTTTCCTTTAACAGAAAATGAAGATATATATACTGACATATAGTGTACATGTACCTTGAAGATTTGTCCCCCTTGTAAATACAAGAAATGCAAAGGTAATTCTTTGTGAGAATAGAAAGAATTAAGGAACACAATGTAATAAAATTTTTTAAACCATACAACAAAAACTACTTTGAATAATTAATACGCAACCAACCATTTACAATTGATTTCTGCAGTTTTATTTAATATTAAAAAAAAATCAAATTTGATAATTTTTAGCTCACCTGAGCTGAAGGCTCAAGTGAGCTTTTCTGATCAGATTTTGTCAACTTTTCACATTTTCGACTTCTTAAGAACCAATGGGCCAGAAAACCTGACACTTATGTGGAAGCATCCTGGGATAGTGTAGATTTTAAATTGTTCAAATTATGACCCCTAGGGACTGGGTGGGGCCACAATAGGGAATCAAAGTTTTACATAGAAATATATAGGAACAGTCTTTAAAAATCTTCTTTAAGAGAACCACTGGGCCAGAAAAGCTGAAACTTATGTGGAAGCATCCTGAGGTAGTGTAGATTCTAAATTATTCAAAATCATGACCCCTGGGAGTTGGGCGGGGCTACAATAGGGAATTTAAAGTGTCCAAATTAAGACCCATGGTTAAGAGTTGCATGACCCAGTCAAAGCTTCTCAGGTGAGCGATGTGGCCCATGGGCCTTTTGTTTTAGCTCTACTGGTCAGAGACCAGAAGAGCTTATGCGATAGGAAGGTGTCCCTTTGTCCGTCTAGCTGTCCATCCGTTGTCTGTCCGTGGCGTCTAGTTGTCTAACTGTCCATCTGTCTGTAATTTTTCAAAACACTACTCCTCTGTTTTATTCTGATTTCAATATAACTTGGCACACAAGTAGACTGCACTAAGGTACATAGTGCATTGTTTTTTTTAAATTGCAATGAACGGTGCTGCCATGGTTACTAAAAATAGAAATTTCTGTATAAAAATTCCTTTAAAACACTACTCCACCTACAAGTTTGGTATGATTTCAATGTAATGTGGCACACAAGTAGACTACACTTAGATACATAATTCTATTTAATGCTGTCTGTTGCAAAGTTTCAAATCCAAGTGCTTCTTTTTCTTTGTTATGCATACAGACCAGTAGAGCTACAGTCTCATCAGAGACTTCTTTATTAGACTTTTCATCACACCGCAACTTTCTTTTTTTTTCAGTATACACAGATGTGTACATACACATAAAAGGAGACATCATCTCATGATCTGTGGATCCATTGAAAACTTTAAGGACAAAACTGTTGATAATTCATTCATGTAAAGAGTGTTGACTTGAATATTGAATATCTAAATGGAACTAAGTTAGAGAATTAATTTAATAAGTATTATATTGTATATTACTCTTTTTATTCATCTGTCAAATTTCTTAATTAAAAATTAAATTTAAAGGCTTAAATAAGGATTTTTTTCATTATTTTAATTAGAACAAGTTCTTTAATTTATTTTTCTCTTACATAATTGATAAACAGGCATTTAAGGTCATGCGCAATGTAGTTTGCACTTTATTGGGTTCTTCCCTGGAGTTCAATAGTTCCACTAAAGGAAGGACCTGTGTGCAATATTTTTATTGTCTATATATGGATTTGTAAATCTCCTCTAAAACAGTTTTGATGAAAAAAAAATCTGGAATTTATGTTTTGTAATTTTTGTACATTTTTCTTTGAATAATGCAAAAAATTTCAAACTTTAATATCTTTTCAAAATCCCTGGAAATGCATGCTGATTTTTTGTCTAAAAATATGTAATATGGTACATGTATTATAAGTTTAAATATAGAATTTCTTGAAAAATTATCAGTAGGTAAGATACCTTGCATATTTCCTTAAATGTAAAATGAAGGGATGTGTACCTTTATTAAATGAACTAGGGAATTCATGAAGTGTGCATATTTATTTAACAGTGTTTTATTTTGCATGCACTATGCCTAAAGGCAGAGATTTTTTACCGGGTGGTAAATTCCAGGTGAGGGAGGGGCTTATTTTGTACAGGTGTGAATGCCTTGGGGGCTACCAGTCTACCTGTGGCCATCTGTCTCCTAATTCCTATACACAGGAAGTGGTTTAATACACAGTGAATTACCCAGATGTCAAACTTTGCCTGTGTTGGGGTTTTGAGACAATTTTGAATTTAAATAGAAGTAATACAAACTTTCTCTATATTGATTTATTTATGAATGTTTGAAAACACCCCTACCCATTTAAAACAATTATGATGATATCATACTATGAACTCAAATATTACAACAAAGATTATTTTAGATGTTAAAGTATGTGTTAATAAAAAAAATAAATACTCCAGTAACAAGTCTAACAACCATATAAGACTTAATGTTTCATTCACCCCAAGGACTCCATGAATTGAATGAAAAGAAAGCCTTGTTAATTAACTATATTTCATTAAAAAGAAAAATGTAGTCAGGGTTTGACACATGGTGCGAGTGCACTATGTGTCAAACCCTGACTACTATAATACATGTAGGCATATAGTACATGCAAAATACTACACTAATGTTATTATTATGCATCCCTATTATAATGTCACCTTGTGCAACGTGCGTCATAATCTTTTTCTTTAATTTTGAACTTTCCATGCTTTAGGTATAATGTACAGATAGTTTTAGAGAATAGTATTTGACTGAAGGGGGGGGGGTTGCAAGAAACTATTTTAAAAGAATTATTTTGAATGTTAATTTTTCATCTGAAGTGTTAAGTACTGCAGAATGTAGCTCTCCGAAATAATATATATTGACAGACGGGAGAGCTACATGTGCAGTGCCACCCATAGTCGAGCACTATTTCGGCATAGTATGTTTATGCTACAGTGTATTTAAATCCTAAGAACATAATGCAAGAATAGTATGGTATATGGGTTATGTCACAGAGACAAACTGACAGGAAGCATAATAATTGACAATATGCATTTATTACAAGAAAATTGAATTCCTGAAAGAAGCTGAATAAATTTAAGCCACTGAAGTACCAATCTAATTAAAATTAGATGTTAGATCTGCTCACATAGTCACTACAGTCAGTTTAGCGAGTATGCGTGCGGGTCTAACATCTTATTTAAATTACATGTAGATTGCTGAAGTAAAAGTTTAATACCCAATATCATTCTGCTATATTTGCATCCGCGCTAGTATTAACAGTGAGCTTTAACTAACTGTGGCCTGAATCTCTTATTTTATATGTTTTGGGGTGTCCAAAATCAAGGTGCATACATATGTTAAACAAAGAAGAAACTTGCAATGGCCTAAGGTGACTTATCAGTTGAATCCATGTCAATGGTGCATATAGTTATTTTATGTACCAAAAATAATAAGTAAAAGATCAACAGAGTGCTTTTATTAAAGAAGTAACCATGGTAACAGAACTAAGGAAAACTTGTCTTCTACTGGATGATAAGAAACACTGAGTAGAGTACCACCGCAATTTTTGGATCCATGCCCTTTCATCATGTTTATTTTTGAACGGGTTCAATGAACTGTCAAAAATTATGGAAATGTTTCTAATTAAGGTGTAGGTAAAATGTTTTGAAATTAGTGAAAAGGTAAAATTGTTAAATATTTTTAATGCAAACTACCAGTAAATGTGCGTAATGAAGACGGTTGATTTTTTTTTTCAACATTATTTCTTGTTCATTTGTCAGATCGGGTTCGTTATGTGTAAAATAATTTCCAGCTGTCATTGGAACAAAAACAAGGCATGATCAGGATCATACAAAGAAAATTTAGAGTAAAAAATAGGTAAATTATTACAGTTTGTTCATCTGAATAAGTTTTAAAACTCTTTGAGAATCTCAGAGTGAATGACACGCCCAAATTTCATGTGATTTTTTACTTGGAAACCCATCAGTTTAGTGCAGCAAACAGGCAAAGATCTAACAACGTATATGGATCTGATCTTGTTGTAAAGCTTGACAAATGACACTTACACAATAAATTAACTTTAATGATTAGGAGGAAAATAAACAAAAAAGATTTGTTCTTTCTTAATTGCATTTTTTTTCTCATTAAAAGTTTACAAACAAGGAATAAAAGAAGGTAATCTACATACAAGGAAATTGTCTTTTTAGTTTTAAAAAACTGAAAATTATAGAGATAATTAAACCACTTTTGATTTTTAGTGCTATTTCATGTAAAATATTTAATCATTTGAAAAATAAAACATTACCCCACTGCCCCCCAAATTGGTTAATTTTAAGAAATAAAAAAATGGTGTAGGAAACACAGAAACTTAAATGAAAATAAATAATTAATGGTAGTTAAACTGTTCAATATTTTCTTTATTTGGTTTAAAACTGTTGTTTCTTAATCCCATGGGAGAATTTTTTTCTATTTTGAAATAAAAATGGGATAAATCCCACATTTATAAAGAGATGGGAGATTATTTTCTGTATACAAAAATATGGGAGATTTTGTCCCATTATAAAGCATTTATGGGATTTTTAAACTTCTATGGGAGAAAAAATCCCACAGAATACCCTTTTCTCCCACAGAATAATGGTGGGATATTGGTTAGGAGAGAAAATCCCACCATAATCCCATGGGATTTCTTGATTTCAGGTGTAATATCTTTTAAACTGGAAGATATTCAGGTGTAAAGGTTAGTCCATGTTGTGCGATTAAAGAAATCCCACCGGATGACATAAATTTTTTCTATGTACCTTTGGAAAAGTGGTTGGCGAAAGTCCGGACAAATGTCGTGTCCGGAGTTAAATGTCGCACTGTTATAGCAAATCATATAAATACACAATTACATGTACATGTAAAATACATACATAAATTTATGAGTACATACAAACATTTATTATAAGATCAATCTGATACATTTTCTTAACTTACCTTTCTCCTATGGCCAAGTCAACTACACATTGTTTTACCAATTTCCATCCTCTGTAACCCCCCCCCCCCCCAATCTCTACAAAAGACCCAAAATCACCTCTAACCCTAATTCCACAGATAAATAATTCAAATTTTTGCTAATTTTTCTCTTGAGATGTCTTCAATATTCAAATAAATTGCTAAAAATAACTTTTCATGACTTTCACTTCACTTTACTTATTAAAAAATGGGGTCTCTATAGGGAAAAGAGTACCAATTAATTTCCCATAGAACTCTATACAAACCTTTTGCCCTCCAAGTAATTTACTAATTCCCGTTCAAACAAATCACTGGTATTATTTGAAAGTTCGTTCTAAGCACTTATTAAAAACACGAAAAAAAATATACCGTTCCGCGGCGTTTATAGGTCAAATTTGCAGTTATTTAGAACTTACAGAGATCGGCAGTAAATGACACTCTGCCAAAAATATCAATCCCCACTCCTACAATCTCCCCTGGTATTTCTAGAATTTTTATAATATTCCCACATTCCATCATTTATTTCAAACATTAATATTTTTACTTTAAAATGAAAATATTTACATACCTCAATTCAGCCAATCAGGTAAAGCCTACCCATTTATTACTCTGCTTCATCTTGTTCAACCAGGAAATGATGTCAAAATCTGGGTCTTTGGTGCTCTTTTTCCTTGTGGTTGTGTACAAGAAAATGCGCATGGGGAAATGAGATGTTATTATTATTATTATTTTCTTTCAGTAAAACAATTCTTCAATGTTAACAGGTATGAAATCATGAGTAAAATATTTTTAAAAACTCGCTATAAATTAAGTTTTAATCGTTATGGACATATACATATGCCACAACTTTGTTCTTATGAACATGCTCTTCTTAACCATTTCTCAACCCCCTTTTTCTTTCTCTCTTCCTTTCTTTCTTTTTCCCCTATTCAATTGTCACTATTATATTTTTTTGTATTCGTTTATTATATGTATTAATGATGTATTGATGTAAATAAGATATTGTAAACACAATGATGTGACAAATGATATTTAATAAAAAAAAAATTAATCGTTATTATTCATGTTATGTTTCAACAGAGACATATAAAACCATGTCTCTGGTTTCAATTACGTTTTCATTTTGCATCAGATAATGTCATGATTTATGGTTAAATAAAATGACTGTACCATAGGTACTCCCCATCCTGGGAGTGTGTAAAATATCAACTGAAATCGTCATGATTTTCCGGATAAGAACGACGTGATAAAAGTGCATGGTGAATAAAAATTGAAAATTTGTTCAACAAGTAAAAATTGTTTTGGATATGCTACAGCTGCGAATGACACAATGATAATTATTTTTCTACACTTTGCACCGCACCATTCTGCATATCCTATACTCTGCAGAAACCATAAGCATTATCAACTGACAAAAATCCAGGGTATCAACACGTGGTTCATCTTCATTTTGATGGAAAAATTTCTTATCATTAATCATTGACTTTGTAACATCGAATCCAATTGATAAGCAAATGTTATAAAATTTTATTACTTAAAAAAATAATTTATTAATATTGCTTTGAAGACAGTCTGAAATAAATATGATCAAGTGCTGATGCTATATGGTCACACTACAGTAAACATTACAGTAAGTTGTAAGGTTTGGCATTGATACGCCTTACTTTGTACTAAAGTAACATATTCATATATCAAATACATCATTAAAGGGTTTTTAAAAGTAAAATATCAATTCTCTTAGGTGGTCCGTTAGCAATTTTGTCTAGTGTATATATGTTCTTATAACCTGAATTTCGAGCTATGCAAAATATATTTAACACATTGTACAGATATCATATCGTATATACATGGGCAAGTTTTCCCCATTTTCAAAAGTGAGTTATCTCCCCTCAAAATCGGAACTCTTCAACACTAGCATAACTTCCGCGGACTACATGATACGATAATCCAACAAAATAGTGATCAGCTTACACGCTGTATTTAAAAATTTTAAAAGAAGGAA